ACCTTTTCCCCCCCTCCCCACGTCTTCAGCCCTGCCCTCCACCTTCAGCCCTTTTCCCACATCTCCGGCCTCTGCCCCACATCTCCACCCACTTCCACTTTCCCACATCTTCAGCCCCATCCCCACACACTCACCCCCCTCCCTGAAGCCACGCCCCCTCCCTGAAGCCCCGCCCCCTCGCAGGTGAGCTGTCCCGGCAGCTGGAGGAGAAGGAGGCCCTGGTGTCCCAGCTGACCCGGGGCAAGGTGTCCTACACCCAGCAGCTGGAGGACCTGCGCAGGCAGCTGGAGGAGGAGATGAAGGTTGGGTCGGGCGGGGGGGTCAGAAGACCTGGGGGGTGGCGGGGGTGGGGGCTCCAGGCAGGTCCCAGGTGCCCTTGGCCCTCGTGGTCACTGGTTCGGATGGGCTGGGTCGGGTTGGGTTCCACCTCAGAGAGTCTAAGGAGGGTTGGGTTCGTCTGCAGGAGGTCTGAGGAAGGTGGGGTTGGTCTAAAATCAGGTCCAGGGAGGGCTGGGTTGATCTACAGGAGGCCTGAAGAAGATACAGGATGTCTGGGGACGTGGAGGACATTGGGTCAGTTGATGGAAGGTCCAGAGAGGGGTGGGTTGGTCTGGGGAGGGCTGGGTTCATCTGCAGGAGTTCTAAGGAGCTTGGGTTGGCCTATGGAAGGTCCAAGGCGGTTTAGATTTATCTGTGGAAGGGTTGGTTGGTTGGGGATGACAAAGACCAGGTTTTTGCTGAGCTGGAGAGCCCCAGGATGGCTCAGGTTGACACGGACCCAACAAGTCCCACCTTCTCCTGAAAGACTGAGGAGGATTGGGTTGGTCTGGAGGAGGTTGGGTTGGTCTGTGGAAGGTACAGGGATGGTTGGGTTGGTCTGTGGAAGGTGCAGGGATGGTTGGGTTGGTCTGTGGAAGGTTCAGGGATGGTTGGGTTGGTCTGGAGGAGGTTGGGTTGGTCTGTGGAAGGTTCAGGGATGGTTGGGTTGGTCTGGAGGAGGTTGGGTTGGTCTGTGGAAGGTTCAGGGATGGTTGGGTTGGTCTGGAGGAGGTTGGGTTGGTCTGGAGGAGGT